GAAGTCAGAAGAGACACAGCCTGGACTCTGAGAACCATATGTCCTCCCCATCTATTTATGTTTGGGCACCAAGTTTCCAGAAACATGGGGAACCATGCAACAGGGACCAGATATGAAAACCCAACCTGGCGCAGGTGTCTGCTCGGACCATGCATGCTATTTAAGGTTTTTGTGCCCTTGCTTAATCCACTGTCCATACTGAACTGCCTTCTGCCCATTCTTTTCCTGTTATTTAATACCATTCTCTATCCTCTTAGATCCAGCATGAATAAAATCAGAAAGCTATAGTTTCTGCCAACCCCCTCATGTATTTGTCAAGTCACTCAGCTCTCCTGAATTCTGGTCTGGAGTTCTTTCGAAAGCCCCAAGTTAAGATAGGCCTCCTCTCTTGAAAGAAAGAACACAAACTTAGATCATTTTATTACATAAAAGAGTCAGCCTTTTTTGGCAGGTTTACTAGGAAGAAAAAGATATTTTGGATGGGACTGGAAGAAGGCAGGGAGGTACCAGATGCTTGACTGTTGGTCCTACAAATCTCACGTGATCTCTGGATCCCTGAAGCCAAAGGTCTGTGTCATTTGTTCCTGCTGAAAACTAAGGTCCCCACAGGCTGGAAGCACGGAGGCCAGAAATTTCTGTACTGCCCCAGCGTACGGTCGGCCATCACAGGCCTTGAGGACCTAGAACCAAAGGTGAGAGATATGGGCTAGTCCTACCCTCCACCCATCTCCATTCCCAGGACAGCATTTCTCTTCCTGATTTCCCTCTTACTCAAGACCTTCCTCCACTCCTCCTCCTTCCCCTCCTCCTCCTCTACTTCTCTACTCCCTCTCCCTCATTTTACCACTTACCAGAGCCCTAACCCTCTTGATGGGACATGGGATAAGGGAAATCATTTTTTCATTCCTCAATTTCCTCACCCTCCCCTGCTCATGACACACACATACACAGCTACACATACTCTGGTCCTGTAGTCTTCAGTGAAGACAATTCCATGGGCATCCAAGTCAAAGCCCAGCTGGATGATTCTGATTTCTCCCTGCTCTTGAAGTTCCTTCTGTTTCCACAGAGATAGAAATGAAAAGAAGGATTTCAGGGTAAGATGTTGTTAAACTCTGGGCACAATGGGGCAGGGAGTCTTTGTTTGCCAGAATTGGGGAATTTTAATGTGTGGGGATATAATCAGGTGGTACACCAAGCAGCCTTTTTCAACTAGTTACCCACCTTCCCAGTCACCTGACTTATCAGTTGTCTGTGAAAAAAAATATGTTTTCTAAGACCAGTTCTATGCCAAGCAGTGAGATAAAACAGTGATTAAGACAGAGGCCCTTCCCTCAAGAAATCCACAGTCTAGATATCAGATGGCAGAAGGTGGGGAGAAGTATTGGATAAAATGTTTAAAACAAGTAAAAATAGCCAGGTGCAGTGGTACATGCCTGTAGTCCCAGCTCTTCCAGAGGCTGAGTCAGAAGGAACACAAGTTTGAGGCCAGCTTGGGCAATTTAGCAAGACCCTGTCTCAAAATTTTAAAATAGAGTTGGGGTTGTGGCTAAGGTAGAGCACTTGCCTAGCACGATGAGGCACTGGGTTCAATCCTCAGCACCACATTAAAAAAAAAAAAATTAATAAATAAAAAAGCTATTAAAAAAATTAAAAAGAGCTGGACAAGGGATTCAGCACAGTGGTAGAGTTTTTCTGAATTCAATTCCCAGTACTGAAGATAATAACAACAACAGAATAAAAATAAACTAGAATTCCTGTCTATAGGAATATAGCAAGAACCAAACACCTACTTGGAAATTAACTAAAATACTAAATATTATTTTAAAATTGTTTAAACATTAAAGAGATCAAAAGATAACAAAAATTACCAGACCTAATATAATATTTAAGCAGAAACAAGAACTCACAGTGGGAGTGGGACATGGAGAGCATTTGCTAATCTAATCAAATCTGTCCGACACATGGCCAAAAATAACTGGGCCCACAGGAAACAAAAAAAAAAATGAAACATACCAAGACTTTTATAGTGGAATTATCAAAAAGACAATCTTTTATAATGGCTATCAAAATACAGTTAGGTAAACAGAATAACTGTTCTATAGCATGGTAGGATAACTATAATACAGAAAACAATTTTATAAAGAACTAGAAAAGAAAAACTGGAAAGTTTTCAACACAAAATTATAAATGAAAAAGAAAATGATCATTATCTAATATGATGGTTACATACTGTATACATGGATCAAATAAGTCATATTGTATCCTATCAATGCATAAACTACTCTATGTAAAAATAAGACTATCCACTTTTACTTATTTGTTTATTTACTTATTTACTTTTGTGTTGGTATTAGGGATTGAACTCGGGTTACTTTACCACAGTCATTTGTCATTTTTTATTTTGAGATAGGGTCTTGTTTAGTGGCTGAAGCTGGCCTCAAATTGGCCCCTGGGTTCAATCCCTAGGAGCGAAACAAGGGGGCGGGATGGAAATTAAGCTAGTTATTTACGAATAAGTACACAGGTGATATAAAGAACACCAAGGTAACAATTATAGCAGTTTGAATGGTGGTCAACTCCCAACTCCCAAGGATGTAAAGAATTTTGATCAGAGAAAGATATGTACAATATTGGCCATGTTTTATAGTTTGACCTAGGTGGTGGCAAGGTATTTCTTTATAAACATTCTGTAAATTCTCTGTGTACATTTATATTTTCTTTTGTGTAATTTTTAAAACTCTTTTGAAATATAAAAGATGTAAGCTAACACAAATATAAAAACAACAATACTTTGTGTGTGTGTGTGTGTGTGTGTGGTACTAGGGATTGAACCCAGGGGCATTCTACCACTGATTTACATTCCTAGTCCTTTTGATTTTTTTATTTTAAGACAAGGTCTCCTTAAGTTGCCAAGGCTGTCCTCAAACTTGCAATTCTCCTGCCTCAGCCTCCCGAGTCACCACTACATCTGGCTAAAAATCACAAATACTTTTTAAAGAATTAGTTCCATCTGACCTGCTTTCTCATCAGACTGTACAAGTCTCCATTCTCCTTTTCTTCTTTCTTTTTGTGACTAGCTAACTCCAATGGAGAGATTTCAGCTTTTATTTTACTGGACCTCTTCAGAGAAAATTCTTTGAGTTGCAGGTTTTAACACCACCAACTACTCCAACCTCCTTGAATACCTCTTTACTTTCACATTAGACCTCTTCCTGGATTTCTCTTAACTGGCAATTCCTTCTCAGCCTCTTTCACAGATTTCTCTTCCTCTGTTTTTCTCTTACATTAGTAGGCCTCAATTTTTAAGGCAAATTAAGAATCACCTGAAGCAGTAATTTAAAAATGTAGATTCCTACATCCCTACATCCCACTCCTACAAGATATCTTAATTCATTAACCTTGGGTAAATCTCAGAACCTCTAATTTCTGAATTAGCAACCCAGACGATTCTGGGCTGCTAATTCAGAAATTAGAATAGGTAGAAATAAGGCCATATAGTATTACATTGAGTAACACTGCCCTAAATAATGGTGTTGCCAGCATTGTGGATATGGCCCTAGTATCTTACACTCTAAACCTGGGGTCTTTAACCTTAGATCTCAGAGGAACTGTGAAACACTCCCCCACAAATCATACATAATACTGTGTGTGCATGTGTGTGTCTGTTGTAGAGGCATTTTTCTGGCAAGAAATAGCTACTGCTTTCACCACCTTCCAAACATTGTAAAAAATCACTCCCTTTTCCTACTGGATCTCACTTACATCCATGTTCTGAACCCACTATCCATACCTCTATGACTTTTAATTCTATTATTACTGGCTCCAAATTCTCTCCAACAACTTTGGATGATCCACAAACATGCCAACTCAACTTGTACAAAATTAAATGCATCATATGCTCCCCAAAGCTCAGTGTGCTCCTCCTGTATTCACTTCACCAACCATCTGGAAAACCTGGGAGTTACCATGAATTCCTCCCTCTTCATCACTCTCCACAAAGCCTCACTCACACTCCCCCTATCTTCCACACTTCCCTAAGTTAGGCCTTCCCCAGTTCTCAGATGCAATAGCTTTAAAGGCATGGCATTACCTCCAATACACCATTCTCTCTCCTGTTTAACATGCTCTACTAGCTCAACGCCTTCATTATAAGACTGAAATAGCACCACTAAACCGACCAGGCCTGTTGTGATCTGATGTATGCCTGCATTCCCAGAGATGGACGCTCGTACTATGTATGCCCCACGACTGCTTCCCTAAAAGCTTCGCTCTTCTGTCTCCTTGATTTGGCCTGATGCTTGCTGGATAGCTGGTGAACCGACTGAGGATCTGTCTGACGCTGGCCTTCGCGAGTGCCCACAAGGCAGGGAAGGGGCCTCCGGTGGTGGCCTTGACGCCCCTCACCAGTTGCCGGTCCGCCACGGTCCGGTCCGGCAAGAGGCTGTACACTTGGCTCCTCAGCACGATAGGAGGCAGCGCATCCTCGAACAGACCTCTCGGGAACAGCTGCACTAGCTCCTCGACCGCCGCGCGCGCAGACCCTGATTGGGGACATTGAGACAGAATTAAGCGGGGGTGAGGGACAACTATGGGGGTGCGGGTCTCCCCCAAACACCTGGCTAGTGGAAGTGAGGTCCCTCCCAGTTAGGGTCTACAGCCCTGCCCCGGGGCTGCCACGCCTACCTGATTCACCCCTCAAAGGATCCGCTTCTACAGGCCCTCGCTCCCGCCGCTTCTTCAATGCAAAAGTCTCCGGGGCCAAGAGGCGTCTCTTCCGGCTCATATCCCCGGACTTTAAGGTACCGGGGAAGCGGCAGAAATTGAGGGAAGAGCTTGTGGAAACAGGGTCTTCCGGCGCAGAGTAGTGACGTAGACCTTTCTGGGAGTCTCGGGAGATCTTACCCAGCAGGTTTAAACAACGTGATGACGTAAGAAGGGTCCCACTTGTCTTGCCCTTTGCTAGGAGAGGCGGATACCAGCACCACTTCCGCCGGGCAGCTGCCCTATGCCTGCCGCTGATTGGCTCTGGCCGAGAGCGCTCATGTCCCGGAACACTTGGATGGCGCTAAGCCGCACCGGTGGCCACGTTGGGATCGATTTACTGGTGTAAATCTCACTGCTACCCACACCCGCTCCATCCCCTCCAGAGGATTTGTCTGGCACCGTAGCGGGATCGTTGCATCATTGGAAGCAAAGGAAAAAACAAAAACAATTTTGCATTGCTCTTCTTCTGATATGCCCCCCTGACGTCATAGCCTTGCGGAAGACAAGGTTGGGGACTCTAAGGTAACCAGATATTTCATCTGAGTCCAGATTCCTTCCTGACCTCACTGCATTTAAAGAACCTGGGGGATAGGGCAAAGAAAGAGGTGGGCTGGCTTTGAGGGGCTGGGGCCTGCAAGTTTCAAGGCCAAAATCTGGTAGTCTGGAAGCTCACTTGGTTCTGACCCACTCTTTTTCCCTCTTAGGACTTTATGGAGCCCAGAGGGACCAAGAGAAGAGCAGAAAAGTTAGAGGTAGCTGAACCTCGGAACAAACTTGCCTATTCCGCATCCTCACTACCCACAGAGCCTGCACTCTACTCTGGACCCTTTCCTTTCTACCGGCGCCCTTCTGAATTAGGCTGCTTCTCTCTGGATGCACAACGCCAATACCATGGAGATGCCCGAGCCCTCCGCTACTACAGCCCACCCCCCACCAATGGTCCAGGCCCTGAATTTGACCTGAGAGATGGATACCCTGATCGATACCTGCCCAGGGATGAGGAGGTCCGAGAGGGGCTGGACCACTTGCTACGCTGGCTCCTGGAACACCGAGGCCAGCTGGAGGGGTGAGATAACCAAGAGTAGATCTGGAGACTTAAATGTACCTTCTAAAGTTAGGAGGGCCAAAGCTGGAACAGGAATCAGTCTTTAGATTCTTGGGGAAATGAGCTGAGCTAATGCTGTGTCAGACCTTTAGTCTCTTAACTCTTCCCTCTCAGAGGTCCAGGCTGGCTGGCAGGGGCCATAGTGACATGGCGGGGACACTTGACAAAGTTGCTGACAACACCATATGAGCGGCAAGAAGGCTGGCAGTTGGCAGCCTCCAGGTTCCAGGGGACACTGTACCTGAGTGAAGTGGAGACCCCAGCTGCTCGAGCTCAGAGGCTTGCTCGGCCACCCCTTCTCCGGGAGCTTATGTACATGGGGTACAAGTTTGAGCAGTATATGTGTGCAGGTGAGAGTTGCCCCTGCTCAGTGGCCCCTTTCCCCTTCCCCAGAGATTGAGATGCCCCCACCCCTGCTGCTGCTTCTCTCCTTGTGCAGACAAACCCGGAGGCTCCCCAGACCCCTCTGGGGAAGTTAACACCAACGTCGCCTTCTGCTCTGTGCTACGCAGCCGCCTGGGAAACCACCCTCTGCTCTTTTCCGGGGAGGTAGACTGCACAGACCCCCAGGCCCCATCTACACAGCCTCCCACCTGTTATGTGGAGCTCAAGACCTCCAAGGAGATGTACAGCCCTGGACAGTGGAGGAGCTTCTACAGGTTCAGGATGGGGTGGGCAGAGCAAGGACTGGGAAGGGGACTGGGGAGGATGATAAGGCCTAAAGGTGAGGGAGGAACAGAGGGTGGAGAGGGTCCCACTGACCCCTTGCCTTTCCTGTCAGACACAAGCTTCTGAAATGGTGGGCTCAGTCATTCCTCCCAGGAGTCCCAAAAGTTGTTGCTGGCTTCCGTAACCCAGAGGGTTTCGTCTGTTCTCTCAAGACCTTTCCTACCATGGAGATGTTTGAACACGTCAGGGTAAGACAGTGACATCACAGTTCCCACTTATATTTGCCTACCCCATGCACCAAGACCACGGGTCCAACATCCAGGGCTGCAGTCTGCCTTCCCCTTCTTCCAACCCATCCTCACCACTAGTCTTCTGCCTCCTCCTCCTTTGTCCACTCCAGAATGACCGTGATGGCTGGAATCCCTCTGTGTGCATGAACTTCTGTGCTGCCTTCCTTAGCTTTGCCCAGAGCACAGTTGTCCAGGATGACTCCAGGTGAGGCATTCAGCTCTGTGCACCCCCTCTGGATCCCAGGAGCTCAGTCTCTGGCCCTCAACTCACTCTCCCGTCTGCCCCCAGGCTTGTCCACCTCTTCTCCTGGGAGCCTGGTGGCCCAGTCACAGTGTCTGTACATCGAGATGCACCCTATGCCTTCCTGCCTATGTGGTACGTGGAAGCTATGACACAGGACCTCCCATCAGTTCCCAAGACACCCTCCCCAACAGAGTGAGGCTTCAAGGGGCCAATTCGTCTGAAGAGATAATAAAGGTTTTCTAAGTGGCTCTCCCTGCTGTGTCTTCTGAGCTGAGTCATCCTGCCCAACACCCCAAGCACATGTGGTGGTTTGCTATTTTATTATTCCACTTCCACCCAGGAGTCATTCACTGGGTGTAAAGGCTAGCTGCAAAGACAATGTCCCTTCGTAACAGGGTAGCTGCTGTCTCCATCTTGGCTCCCAGCACAGGCTCCCCTACCAGGCGGGCTGCCCCTCGAAGTGAGCGACACATCTCAGCCAGGCGCTGGATGCAGCGGACCACCAGGCCTTCAGGGGTCCCCGAGAGCCCTGCCAACTCAGAGAAGGGCTGTGGGGAAAACAGAGTGAAGATTGAAGATGCCAGACCCAGACAGCTTCTGACCGGCCAGCCAGCCACAAAACCCCAAACCCCAGGTACTCACCATGCCCCGGGCCCACTCGTACACAACCTCAACAAGTCCAAAATTCAGCTCCCCCACAAATTCCTCCACTGTCTGGTTCAGACCACAGGCCACCTGGACCTCACCAATCCGCTTTGCCACGGCTCGGACGCGTTCTACTCCCTGCAGAAGGGAAAGAAGAAGTCAAGGCTTGTCTTCCTGCTCTAGGCCCAGGGAGGCCCAAGTGAAGGAAGAGGCCATGTGCATTTTTAGAGGCACTTGTGGTCACCTGGGGAAACCAGATCAGGGGTTGGGAATGCCACAGTCCAGGGAGAGTGGTAGTATCCCTTACCTGCTTGAGGGTGCTTGGAAGCTGATCCCCAGGGTCCCCGGGACTCTGGCAGACCAGGCCAGAAAGCAGAGCTGCGATCTCCTCAGGCCGCAGGGCGCTCAGTGCATTGTCAAACATGAGCTCAGTGAGGAGCAATTCATGGCTGCTCATGGCACAAGCTACCCGCCCTGCCAACTTCACAGTACCTGCCTGGTCCACGTAACCCAGCGTTCGGAGTACCTACAAGAAAGAGGGTTAGTGATGGGGAGTCTGCCACTTTCTCCCACACTAGCCTCCTAACCCCATCCCCACCGCTCCTACCTCTACTCGCTGGTGATACTCAGGGAGCAGCAGCAGTGACTGATCTGACAGTAGGAAGCGCAGCCGCTCCATCTCCTTCTGAATCTGCATTCGTTCCCTCAGCTTCAAATACTGCAGAGAGTCACAGGCAGGAGCCCTCAGTCCTCTCCCCTCAGCAGAGGTGTTAAGGAAAAGTCCCCCCTCCACTTGAGAGCTACCTGGGCAGAAAAACGGGGGCTGTGTACACACTGGGCTCCCCGAATTAGCTCTTCCAGCTTCCGGGCCCGGAGTCCCCCCTCTACCACTGACACATCCTTGAGCTGTAGGTCATTAACAGGGTCAAGGGTGGGAGGTCCTGCTGGGTAGGCTTGAGCCAGACGAAGCAATTCCTGGACAGCAGTGGTCACAGCTGCAAGGGGAGGATCCTTCCTAAAGAGGGAGCATGTTTTTGAGATCTGGGCAAGAGACTTCTTTGCCATAGGAACCTCTTTAGGCTAGACAAGGGGATCCCCCTCAGGCTGAGGGGATCTCTCAAGTATACTCCCCTAGCTGGTAATTCATGTCCTCTGGGGAATAGGATCCCCCCAGCATCTCTGACCTGAATTTTGGTTGCTGCCTCTTGCTGAAGTCCTCCAAGATCTTCTCACCATTCACCCGGAGCACCTTGGTGGTGATGGCAGCCACATCTCCTGGCTGAAGCTTGGCCACAGTATGGTCACAGGGCCCTGTGAAAAAGGAAAAGTAGGTCAGTCCTTGCCATAGAGCCAGGCATCCAGCTCACATACCAGTCAGGAAGCCAGACATCTGCCTCACTCACCTTCAGGCAGGAACAGCTTAAACCCTACTAGGTCATCTGGGTGGGGCACATTTGGAGTGGCTGGATCCTTGTCCTGTGGATCCTCAGACACAAGCTTATCACACAAGACCAGGGTTGTGAAAATTCTGCTGGTGGAGTTTGAGGAGACCTGAGGGAGGCAGAAAGCCCAGGACAGTGGAATGTAAGGAATAGACATCAAAAGTAGAAACCAGAAGCCCACCCTTGGGCTGGGATCAGGGAGCAACCACGCAGAGCCTACCAATATGGAGGGGTAACCAACCACCCAGCATATTTCTTTGTGTGGGAAGGTGGACATGAGGTATTGGTGGGAAGGAAAAGGGGGGAAATGAAAGCATTGTGGTGGCAGCAACCTGCCCCCCAGCCAAGCAGGGAAGACGGAGCTAGAGTTTGTTCCCTCATTCCTTCCCACCTTCTGAGTTCCCAACCCATCATCCTCACCTGCAGGATCACACCCAGTGCATTGTGATGCTCCCGATTCTTCACAACCACCACTCTTCCTGTGGAGAGAGATTTCAGCCCATTCACCGACTCTATGATGCGTTGCTGAAAAAGAGGGAAATGCACAAGGGGATATAGTAGAAGGTGTCACTGGGACTAAGTTCGGGAGTACCCAGGGTGACCCAATCTCTTACTCCCTCACCCCATCATCTCCCCACTGGCACGCATTTACCTGGATCATGTTCCGGGTCTCTGTCAGTTCCTCCCCCCAGCTGTAATACTCTGGTAGGTCTACCAATTGACCAGTCATATCAGGCTCCTCCAAGGCACCCAGCCTCTTGGTTAGTTCAGCCAGCACCTGTTCATGGGCCTGGGTGGCAAAGGGGATGTTGTGAAGCAAGCCCCTCAGGCCCATCTTGCCACACCCCCCACCTTCGCCCAACTGGCCTGTATAACAACCTCTTCTCAACCTGGTCTTGTCCACCTTCCTGTCCAGTATACTGGTCACCCCAGCCTCCTCACCTTGCTGTCTTTACGGGATGGAAACTCAGAGAAGCTCCTCTTCATCATGTCCTCCACCCTGAGGGCATCTACCCGAAGCAGGTTAAGAATCATAGTGTACGTGAGGCGGAACTGGGACTGCAGCTGGGATGGCTTCCCCTGGAGCCAAGCCAGAGAGGTCAATGAGATCAGGTGGGGACTCCTTGGCCAGTCCTATGGGGATCTGTATCCTCTCAGATCTGGTCCTAGCTCTGTAACCATGGATCTTAGACAAACCACCTGCTCACCTCTTCTGTAACAGGAAAAAACAAAATGAAATACAAAGACTCTCAAAGGCCCTGTCTAGCTCAGTATTCACAGCAGGAATAAACTAGAATGGATGGAATCCAATCTCTTCCTTAGATTTTCTCAGTCTCATCTTGGGTTCTTCCAGGCAAAATAAAAAACTCCAACAAATATTCTGCCCATTTCCTCTCTAAAAAGAGGTAACTACATAAGCAAATGAGGAAAATGATAGTACCTGTCCTATAGAATTGCCTGGAGAGTTAAATGAGATCTTGTTAAGAAATTACCTGGGACTGTGCCCTGGCTACAAAGTGAGGTAGGCTTTTTAGGGAGGAAACAGGCAGAAGGTTGGAAAAGGGAATTCAGCAGATCCCTGGAGCTGAAGCCCTGCCTGTCTTGGCCTCACACCACCCCTGCTCACCATCATCATGCGGTGCAGATCTGCCATCTCAGGCACACGACCCTTGCAGAGAAGGATGACAGTGCCTGTGGGGTCCAAGCCCCTCCGGCCTGCCCGGCCAGCCATCTGTACATACTCCCCAGGTAGCAGGTCCCGGAAAGTGGAGCCATCATGCTTACGCATGGAGTCAAACACCACTGTACGTGCTGGCATGTTTACACCCATGGCAAAGGTCTCTGTGGCAAACAAGACCTAGAAGAGCAGAGAAGAGCAAGGATCAAAAAAGGTGCTCAGCAAAAGTCACACCCACCTCACTTTGTAGCTAAGGCACAGTCCCAGGTCATTTCTTACAGGATCTCATTTAACTCTCCAGGCAACTCTTTAGGACAGATACTATCATTGTCCTTATTTTGCTTATGTATTTACCTATTTTTTTCCTTTTGCACACGTATCCCACTGCAATGATTCCAATGTGTTTAACAAGTATCTTGGTTAATATGTTATTTCAGACCATGACTTGTTTTGTGCACTTGTAATTTTTTAAAAATATTTATTTATTTTTAGTGCTGGGGACCAAACCCAGGGCCTTATGCATGCTAGGCATTCATTGGCTTAAATAGTGCCAGGGTGAAAAATATAATGCCAGGTGAATTCTAAACTAGTATAAGTGGTACAACAACTCCTAGTCTTCCATGTCTCTGGCCATACTTGGCTAATATTAGCCAGGTTCCTAAATTTTACATTTAATAGCTGTAAAGTCATATCTTCTAAGCATTTCAATTTATGTTTCTCTGATTACTAGTAACTTTTTTCCTTTCCTTTTCCTTTTTTTCAGCACTGGGGATGCAACCCAGGGTGGCATGGATGCTAGGCAACTGCTCTACTACTGAGCCACATCCCCAGCTCTAGTGACTTTTCATATGGTCCCTAGTTTTTTGGGTTTCTCTTCTGATGATCGTTTGTTTGAGTATCCTGTGCATCCCCATTTTAAGATGGGAAACCTAAGACTTTCAAAGGCCCTGTTTAGAGGTTTGGAGGTTAAGAAATTTGTCCAAGGTTACACAGGGAGGATATGGTGAGGCTGAGATTCAAACCCAGGTGGTCTGGACCCAGAGCCCAGGTTCTGCACTGTCTTGCCTAAACTTCTATACTTCTGTCCTGGGGACTGCCCGCAAGGTAATGCCTAGTACCGTGGAAGTTCCTCTTCCCCCATCATGTGTACCTTGACCAGGCCACGGCTGAAGAGCATCTCCACAATCTCCTTGAGAATGGGCAAGATGCCACTGTGGTGTACACCCAGGCCACGGTGCAGGAGTTCAGACATGTGCAGGACCTGTGAGGGTGGGGAAGTGGCCCATAGTCAGAGATGGGTCTCTGAAAACCTTATCTCACCAATTTCCATACAGATGCACCTGAGGCAGTTGGCGGTCAGAGCCCCTGAGACGAGCAAGGCAACGCTGCAGAAAGAGGTGAATCTCACTCTTCTCTGAACTCGTGGTAAGGTCAAGTGAGGTGAGGCCTGAGGCTTGCTCATCACAGCGGCCCCGGGAGAAGGTAAA